TGGGGAGACTGGGTTGGGGGAAGGAGGGTAGCGGAGAATGGGAGGGTAGGAGATGAGGGAGGGGCAGGGGAAAGGGAAAATCAACCAAGATAAATAGGTACAAGAGTCCCATATGGAAATTTGTCACCTTTTAATTTTAATTTTTTAATTCAACAAAAGTCAAAAGGAAAACAAAACAAAGAAGTGCACTGACCAGGGGTTTGAGAGTCTCCATCTTCAGTGTCAAGTAGACATTGCTGCATCTGGTATGTCTTCTACAGGACAGAAATCTCCAGAGAGTGGGGATAGCCTCGGATTTCAGACTGTAGGAGGAAAGACTCTGAGGTGGGCTCTGACTGCTCTCTCTCGAAAGGGAGCTGGGTACTGTTCAAGAAACCGATGGAAATCTTGACCTGTAATCAATAATCAATGCTAATGTATTTTTAAATGTCTGTTGCTTGGTCCTTTCCTCTCTTGGTTGGGGAGCAATGGGTCTCTCTATGCATCCTGCTTTCGCAGTCACCACAGAGAGAAAATAAGATAGGAGACTCATCTGTGTTTTGGAGCACCCAGAGTGCACTGTTGGATCCATGCGTTGAGTTTTAGGCGCTCAATGGCTGATTAGCAGCCACCAGGGGTTGTGAGGAGCAAGAAGCTCGTGGACAATGGCAGCATCTTGGGTGGCTTCACGGATAGTAGAACAAGAAAAATGTGGGGGAGGAAGTTGTTCAACCTGAACGGTAGAGTAAGGCTGGGCTGCTGCCAGGTTGGCGTGGAGAAAGGACTTCCCTCCTTTATTGGAGGTCCTGGAATAGGGAAGTCGTGTGGGGGAAGTGAGCATTTTTAATGGGACGGAAGAGATCAGGATTTGGACTCCAGATCCATTATAACTGTGGTGACAATGACATGTGTGTTGCCTTCATTGTCTTTGGCTTCCGCCACCTTCAAGGGAGGGGGGGATGGGGTGACATCTGAGAGTTCCAGGTCAGGAGCCAGGATTCTGCAAGACAAGGGTGGGAGAGGAGAGGATGAAGGAGAGCTTGAATTCTTCTACGGATGAAACACCAAGGGGTCCCACACATGTGAGTCTCAGGGACTCAGTGAAAACACAGGGTCAGTGTTTGGGGGTAAGGAGGCAATGGTGGGCGTTTCCATAAAAGCACACAGAACCTTCTTAGAATACAGAGCATGAGTTTGTAATGAAGTTAGTGTTCTGCTTAGATGTGCGAAGTGATTATTTTGCTCTATTCTGATTTAATGTTGCCATCACAGGTCACATTTGTGGGTCAGGTCTGGTGCTGTGGCTGACACAGGGCTCTGACCTCATCACAGTGACCCTTGCTTTCTCTTCTTGTGAGGTATGCCTATCTGTCTAGCATGTGGTCTGGTATATCCATCTTGAGGAGCCTCTCATAGCTTCATTTTCCTGGACTGGATCCTAACATGCTGGGAATGTCCCTTAATTTGGACTCAACATTATTCAAGACAAACATCGGAGGTCATGTGACTGCGGACCTAAGGATGGTATGGTGTGAATTTTTTTGGCTTGATAAAGTGAGAAAGCCACTCTGGTTTTGATTCAACAAGTTATTCCAGTGCTTTATTTATATACAGTGCCTTATTACATAGTAGGTTAGTGTGACATGATTTGGCCCAACTAACTCTAGGCTAATGCATTTTGAGTCCTTTAAGGCATGCTGGGCTTAGCTGTGATGGTTAGCAACTTAGGCACACTAAAAGCATTTCAACTTGCAATGTCTGAAACTTACAATGGAATTCCAGGACTGTAACCCCACGGCAGTTTGAGGAGACCTAGTGCTTCTCTGCAGAAACACGAAGAGATTACTTATGGTGACACAGACCCTGTTGTGCAGGTGTGGAGGTGTCACATTTTGTCAGAAGGTGACAATGGTGAGAAGTGAGGCCTTGAGGAAGTGATTAGGCCAGGAGGGAGCTCCCTGGTCAGTGGTATAAAGGCTCTTATTAGAGACCCTTCCGTCAGGAGAAACGGAGAAACATGGGTGAGACCGGAGTGGGAGGATTAAATGGGGAGGAGGATGCGAGAGAGGAGTAAGGGACAGAATGTGGGGAGGGACAACTAACCATAAAAGACATTCGAGGGGCCATAGGGAAACCTGCCACTGTAGAAGCTTCTTTAAATATATGTGAAAACAATTTAAATGGAATATTCAAATAATGGGGGAGACAATGCCCCAACTAGACATTATGCCACCAACTGAAAACTCCAGGGCCGGGAACGGGTTCTATCTTGTTGAGCTGTTGGCCAAGGGGGCTCCAGAGAAACCCCGAAATATCTCAGGATATTGCCAAGGCTGTGGTTGCTCTCCACAAACCGACAGCCAGGCCCTGTTTCTGAAGAGAACTGGTATCCCATTGAACTTGGAGAAGTTGAGCTGGTGCCTGTCTCAAGCCTTCACCCCTAGTGTTCATGGTGATACCAGAAGGTACTCTGCACGCTACCAGAGGAGAAAGGTGATCATCAACTCCATTACAAAACCTGGGACCTACAACAGTGACCTGCCTGTGAGAGATGCTGTTTGCCATAGTGGTGTCCTTGCTGTGGAAGTAACCAACCACTCTCCGATTGGCTTCAAGCCCAGTCTGCAAGATGCAACCCATGCCCGATACCACTGTTGTGGTCAAGAACCTGAGACTGGGTAGGCCATGGGCCTAGGGGGAAACCAAATACTATTGTTCTAAAGCAGCAGCGCTTAACCTGTGGGCCATAACCTCATTGGGTTATGTCAGATATTTACATTATGATTCACAACAGTAGCAAAATTACAGTTATGAAGTAACAAGGAAATCATTTTACGGTTGTGGGGTCACCATCGCACAAGGAATTGTACTAAAGGCTTACGGCATTAGGATGGCTGAGGACCGCTGTAATCTAAAGGGGCATAGCAGAATGACTACCAGTGATGTAATGCCGTACCCCTAGACCAGCGTCTCACTCATGCGTCACCAGATTAAGAAGTAGACGGGAACTAAGACACAGACCCACAACTGGACAGTGTGCAGGGCGAGAGACGGAACACTCACTTCTAAATGGGACGTGCTCATCAGACCCCTCCCCTCAGGACTCAGGGATCTAAGTGGAAGAGGAGGTGGAAAGACTGCTCGAGCCCGCGGTGTGATGGATGACTCCCAGGTAACATTGTCTTTCAGACACAGCCAGGCTCACGTGAACTCACAGAGACCGTGGCAGATGCACAGGGCCTTCACGGGTCCAAGCCAGGCTGGGTCCCAGCACTGAGCAGGGAAAGTGGACAAAGGACCCTTAATCTAAAAGCTATCTGCAGCTGATAGCTTACTGGAAAAGGAAAAATTAGCTTTCTCCAGTGGAGTCTCACCAGGGGTATCAACTACACCTCAGGGCAGGCCTGTGACTAGGAGTAGTTGGCCAGCAGAAATGGTCTCAATGGTATTTTTGTGGACTTTTTACCTCATAATGCTTTGTTTTGGCATTTTTTGTGGTGGTCTTTTGCTTGTATATTTTGGTTTCCACTTTTGTGGTTGTGTGTGTGTGTGTGTGTGTGTGTGTGTGTGTGTGTGTGCGTGTGTCTTTGCTTCTTGTTTTTATATCTATTTCTTTTTGTTTGTTTTTTTAAGAAAGTAAGAGTGTGGAGTCGTGTGGGTGGGGACTTGAGGAAGAGTTGGGGGAGAGGGAAAGCGTGATCAGAATATATTGGTGAAAATGATTTTTCAAATAAAAAGCTTGCTATAAAAAATTAAATAAAGCTCCTTTCACCTTGAGCCACCTCTGCTCTGTGAGGACAGCACTCATCTACTCTGGAGCGGAACTGTCCTGGCAGGAATAAAGATATTCTCAACAGACACTTGGGTATTGTCCGTGGTCACACTATTAAAGCAATAGACACAAGGAATGGGAATTTTCGCAGGACTCTCATGCTGGGAGAAGAAAAGTGTGGGGGCCCTGGTGCCAGCCAAAGGGAAGCTTGTCTCCCAGAAGGAGATTTCATTTGGTTCAGACAGGAGAGGCAGGGCGGAGACAACCGCGGGTTAATGATGGGAGGGACCACACTTTCACTTAGCTCGCCTCTAGCCTTCTTTTTAAACCCAAATGTCATATCAGGAACCCTAAAATGACCTGCGCGGGGGAGGGGGGGACTGTCACTGGAGCGCTGTGTCCTCTCTCGGTGTGGTCACACTGAATAAATCTCCTTTCTCTGTTCCTTGCTGTCGCTTGTTTCCTAAATTGGTCTATTGAGGATGAATGGCCGAGCCCAGCTTGTTAGGGATGCCAGGGTCCAGGCTCTGACCCTGACAACTTGAGTAACAAGATGACCCAGTCCTCATCAGACACTGTATCTACTGGCATCTTGACCTTGAGCTTTCCAGCTTCCAGAACCCTGTGAGAGAAACGCTCTGTTCTTTGTCCGCCTCCCAGTCTGTGGCGGGCTCTGATAGCAGCCCAAAGGACCGGGCTATGAGGACAGGGGTAAGGCAGTTGCGGCCCTGGTTCCCAAGAGCTCACGTTTCAGTGCTTCGCTCTCCCCCTGCCATAAGTGGTCAAACACCAGCACGTTTGGAGCAGGAACATCTTTAAAAAGATAGGTTCGCTTTCAGCGTGGAGAGCTCGGCTCGCCAGCTGGACTCCGGCCGCTCCTCTGCTCTAACTCAAAGGCGAAGCTGGTTTCTATTTTGATCATGTTCAGAGATTCCAGGCACGTTGTCTCTGACCTGTGCCTCCCACATTCTGGGCAATGTTCTCAAGTGAAGTCCTGGCAGAGACTTGGAGGGGGGGGGGGTTCACAGAGGTCTAGAATATCCGGGTCATCTGAGGACAGTGATGCCGGGTTGTGTCTGAGTCATCAGTTTTCTTGAAGAAGTCGATAAAGGCTCATCCCCTTGTCTCTAACCCTGCAGAGACTATCTAAGGGTTTCAGAGTTCTTTATCTAGAAACAGAAGAGTGCACTTAGTGCAGCATTCAACAAGCTAAGCCCCAACTAGGACAGTTGATTAAAAGCACAAGAGAGTGTGTCTTGGTCCATCCGGGTGCTGTGAGAGAGGGTCATCGGAGCTAGTAAACACAACAGGGAAAATGTAGGGTCAAGGTCATTCAGATCCAGCCACGGTCTGCTGAGGAACTGCATCGTGGTACGGTATTCTCATGTGACGAAAGAGCCAAGAAGAGACAAGGTAGCTCTCCATAGCCTTTTTTTTAAGGGTCCGAAGCCCACTCTTAGAATGTAATCACCTCCCAAGGCCCGATTACCCAAGGACAGCACCCTGGGAATTTCTTTTTTTTTTTTTAAATATTTTTATGGTTTATTTAACTTTATGTACATTGGTGTGAAGGTGTCAGATCCCCCGGAACTGGATTTTCAGACAGTTGTGAGCTGCCATGTGGGTGCTGGGAATTGAACCCGGGTCCTCTGGAAGAGCAGTCAGTGCTCTAAACCGCTGAGCCATCTCTCCAGCCCTGGGAATTTCAATAGAAGGATTTTTTTTGGAGGATCACAAAATTCAGTCCAATACATATGAGGGAATGAGTCAGGCTTATTGAACTCAGAGGTTACCTTCCCAGTGTGGATTATTTGAGACAAGGGTTATGGGGACTGGTAGGCTGAATGGCGACCCCATGGGCGCCTGTTTGGAACATCGTCTATGAAGAAAAAAATTTCTTCTTTTCCCTCAGGGTCAGTGCCATCCACCCAACTGGGAGTTGTGATGCCGCGAGGCATATGAGCTAAGCCTGAGTCTCCTGACTATGTTTACCCCAGGGCATCCCTCCTCTGGGACTTCCTGCCTCAACCGGGGAGGGTGCTGCCCTCTGGGGCTTGTCCCGGGGGACTGAGGTTTTTTTCCCAGGCCTGTGTGTGGTGACTGGAAATGTTCCAGGGCTGAAGGAGACCCTGCCAGACCTGCCTGTTGTTTCCAATAGCCCGGGGGAGGCTGAACTAATTGGCACTGTGGAATTCTGAAATCCACTACTCAGTTCCCTGCCACCACAAGGAAGGCACTGGGGGGCTGCTTGAGTGGGTACTCACTGGGGACATGGATTTGGGCTGGTTTTCATTCGGTGAGTACATGCTTTCCTTGGCCTGCCATCAAAACACAGAGGTGGAAGAAAACCAGTTTGTTAACTTCTCAGGAACAGGAGGCCAGCTGCGGGAAGACCCCAGAGGCAAAAATCCCAGGCTAAGGACCTGAATTGTAGGCAGCTGCTATAGTCTCATTATCCCACCAGGAGACAGACACAGACACACTTGCACCCTTTAAGTCCTGGTCAAGCCTCCTCCTCCAGGAAGCTCTCCTTATTGTCCTCAATTTTATTAGCAATACACTTTCCCCTTTGGGGTGGAGTGTGTGCTCAGCACCAATGAGAGGATTTGATTGATTTGCCTTTATGCTTTTAATAAAGACTCACCCCTGCTGCAGAGTTCTCTACTCCAGAGGACCTGGGACTCCTGATTCCTAAGTTCAGGTTGTCTCTTGTGGTTATTGTTCAGGATTCTTATCCTCTAAAAGACTGTCAACAAATAATAGTTTCAGTGTCCCAGCAAAATTGTGCAGAAAACCCAGATTTCCCAGATACCCCAAGTGTCCCCCTCCTGTCCCTCAACCCTTTTTGCTTTCAGCCTGCCACACCAGAGGGGCATGTTTGTCATAGTTCTGTAGCTACATTAACATCATCGCTTAGAACCCACGACTTAGACCAGCCCATTTGTGGTGCCCGCACGTGCTTCCTTTACCTGTGGATAAAGGTGTGATGACATTACCCACCGTGGTACCATAGAGACGAGTATCTGCTCCCAAATTCTCTGGGATCCACCTGCTCACCCATGTCCCCATCAGCCCCTGGCTTTTCACTGTGTCCATAGTTTTACATGTTCAGTGTTAGTTGCTTGAGACCACCCAGTCCATACACAGCCTCTTTCATCCAGCAATATGCTTCAAGTCCTCCCCCCATCCCCCTCTGTTGGTAGGGTGCTAGAAATTTCAAGCCAGGACTCTGCTATGCAAGGCACACCCTTCACTGTTGAGCTAGCCCTCCATCTCTGTGCGTGGGTTTTCATGTAGACAGAAATTTTTAGTAACTCGGGGTAAAAGTTCAGAAGCAGGCAGTGCAGGCCCTAATGGTGACAGCAAGGTTCATTGTATATGAGCCTGCCAACCCATCTCCCTATGTGTCTTTATCATTTTGCTTTCCCGCTAGCATTGTTGCTCCATGTCTGCGCCAGCATGATCCAGCGCTGTCAGTGTTCAGGGTTCAGTCTTTCCGAGAGGCATACCTCATCACTTGCATCCCGTTTTTCATGCTGTCCTGTGGTGAGGGGTGTCTTCTTGTAGGCTTAGTTGCTACCCAAAGCATTTCTCCAGCACAGTGGCAGTGCTTTGCCGGGCGGTCCCTGAAGCCTGCCTCGGGTACTCCTTCTTGCATGCTTCCCTTGGGAATATTGTATTATATTCTTTCTTCATTGCTGTGACGAGATAATCTGGTGGCGAGAAGCAACTTAGGGGTGGAGGGGATTGTTTTGACTCATGGTGGGGGTTCAGGCCAACACGATGGGGAAAGCACAGCAGGGAGTAGGCTAGTCATGTGGCAGCTGCCATCAAGAAGCAGAGAGTTGAAGGATGATACTCAACTCAGTTGCTCAGTTTCTCCTTCATTCTGTTGGGGACCTCATGGGATGGTGGCACCACGTTTAGACTGGGCCTGCTCAGTGTGGACACTCTCTTAACACCTGTCCAGAGACTTGTGTTCTAGGTGATTCTAGATCCTGTCATGTTGACAATGTTAACCATAGGTTTGTGTGTGTGTGTGTGTGTGTGTGTGTGTGTGGTATTCTTTTTCTATAATCTCTGTCTAGGCACTTTGAAACCCTGGCTAGAAGATATTAAAATACTTCATCCAGGTCACTGTAGCAACTTTAATAGGCAAAGAATCTGGCTGGAAAAACACAGTCACAGCCAAATAATTAAATATAGAGACTGGGAAATAACACCTCTGGTGGGCATGATACCCAGGAATCAGGTGCAAACAACGACCAGGGGTCAGCTAGTTAATAGAGGGCTGGTTCCTGTATCACTCACCCACGCTTCTAGACTCCAGCCAAGGCCACTCCGGCCTGGCGTCGTCTCTCACACCATTAACAGGGAGGTCTCGGAACCACTGGAACAGGCCCAGAGCAGAAACGTGTTGGGACACTTCCTCTGCACTTCAGCGGGACAAACATCTATTCTGGGTTTGGGCTGTTTCCAAGTTGGGTTACACGATGGTAAACAATAGGGCAATAGGGGCTTTAGAGGGGAGGGGAGTAAGTGCGATTTTTGAACTGGGTACTTTGCAAAACACAATTAAAACGGTCCTTGAAGCAACGATTGAATGGAGTGGGTTACAGAGGTGAAGAATTGTCTGTGGTTGTCAAAATGCTTCCCACCATGATCCTGGTTCATCCCTCGGATGTTTGGGAAGGGCTGCCGAGGCCATGTTTTTGTCTAGTCATTTGTATTTCCCACAGACTTTGAGGACTCTCTTTTATAGACTATCGATAATTATCCATCTGACTCGGAGGGTAAAAATGGAAAGGAGAAAGTTCAAGAATCAATTAGCTGGCTTAAATTTGCTGAGAAATTCAAGGCGGTGTTCAAGACTAAAATTTATAAAGTAAATCAACATAAGACGAAGAAGTAAATTAACCCGCATGACAAAATGAAAGGGACGGCTCCCAAGCAGCTTCATAAATTTCCTGCTTGATGCATTTCGAGTCTCCAATTTCTAATAAAATTCTCATGAGAACAGAGTGCTGCCTCATAAAAGCCCATGGACTCGCCCCATGAGAACCGGCTGGTTTATAAGGGCACATGGGTTCAAGGCTGTGGTTTATTTATTAAAAATTTCTCAGTAAATATATCATAGTTGACTGGATACTGCCCTGAGATCATGGGGAGGCCATGTTTCATTCCTCCTGTCCCTAGTGAGAAAGGAAAACAAGAAAAAGCCCGTCAGGAACTCTCTGACCCTAAAGAAACCATACCCCTTTCGTCTTTTTACCGAAGGAAGTTCTAGGTTCTTCTTGTTTCCCCTTAGTCTAAAGACCTCAACCTCATGTGAGCTTCTCATCTGTGTGAGGAGAGTTTGGGCATTTTGGCCAAAGTGACGGGCAAGGAGGCCTTCCTGAGCCTGAGTGAAGCTCGGTTTGTCCTTGTCCTCGTCAGGGCATGGGGCAGAAAGCGGGTCCTGCAAGTGTGTCTGGTAGAACAGGTGTGTTTATTCCCTCCCTCTCCTCCTCCTCCCCTCCCCCCTCCTGCTTCCTTTTCTCCCTCCCCACCCTCCCCTGACAGGGTCTCAATACAGTCCAAGCTGACCTAGAACTTTCTGTATAGCAGAGGATGACCTTGAAATCCTGGTCCTCCTGTCTCCACCCAAATGCTAGGATTATTTGGTACTCCTGTGGACTGAACCTACCATTAGCACATGCTCGGCAAGGACTGAACCAGCTGAGCCACGTCTCCAGCCATGGATGTGTGTTTAAAGTCATCGTGAAGCCGATGAGCTCACAGCTCACATTGCCGCGCCCCCCCCCCCAGCGGGCCTTCCCACCACCTGGGAAAACGGTGCTTACTCGCACTGTACTTTCCGTCTAGCCAGATGCTTCCCTGAACTGAGTCCTTTACGGTCCTATGACAGGGCTTGTTAATACCGCCCCAGGTTAGAGGAAGGGAAGTTTCGCACTGAAAGGTCACAACCCTTGCTGAAGTTCCAGAGCTTGTCAGGGTCAGAGCAGGATGAAGCCAGGCCAGCCAACCTCACTGCGATGCATGGGACCACAGGTCTAGATCTAGGATGGTGGCCTGCGTGACAACTCAGGAACCTTTCTCATTTTGACCCCACGTACCCTGACTCTTTCTCAAATAACGCCGTGTTTGGGCGGGGGGGCCTGACTGAGACCAAAGGGAGACCGATGCCTTCTATGAGGACAATGAGGCCCATCCATGTGTGCACCACCATGGTCTCTAACCTGTGTCAGATGCATGACTCGTGTTAGCTCCAAACGCGTGGGTTTGTCTGGAGCTAAGTCTGAGTGGGCTGGGTTTGCACTCAGATATCTCCCCAAATCTGTTCTTAGGGTTCCATCCATTACAGCGAGTTCACTGACCTGGGTTCCACACCTCACACTGTCTCTGATTAGGTGTGTGCCTCAACCTTTCTGTGAGTTCCCTCCCTGAGCCAAGGGGAGTAAGAATGGCCTGAGTCTGACTTGGGAGCTGATGCCATTCCCAGCACTACCACACACAGACACCCACTCACACACTTCAGTGAATGAGAGCCCATAGCAGAGAAAGCATAATTATGAAGCTGTAAAAGACCCATTTTGTTGTTTAATAGTAGTTTTGGGTTCATGAAAAAATTGAACCAAAGGTGCAAAGGACACGCATATCCTCTGACTTCCCACACACAGCCTCCTTGGATATCAGCACCTCTACCCAAGGGAGCTCGGTCACCATCTGTGGGCCTGTCTGGTGCACCATTATCTCGGAGTCACTGTGTCATTTACCCTCGGCATTGCACGCCCATGGCTCTGCACAGGCGCAGCATGAAACACTTGCCCTGTCGTGTGACCACATGCCTCTGCCTAGAAGGCTGCGGTGCTGCAGTCTGCGGACACTGACCCAATCCCTGTCGTTCTCATGGTGTCTCAGGAAGGGAGGCAGCACAGAACCTTTTCAACGGTATCCTTCCCTTGATGACTGGCAGGTCCGTTTCCACCATGTCTTTTCATGGTTTGATGGTTCCGTTCATTTCAGTGCAAAGGGCACAAGCCCTCCTTCCTTCCCACCTTCTTTCTTCCGTTTCTTCTTTTCCTTCCTTGTTGTGTGTGTTTGTGTGTGCGTGCGTGTATGTGTGCGTGTGTGGTGTATGTGGTGAATGAGTCTCCATGTGTGCCGGTGTGTGTGCTTGTACAGGTACCCGTGGAGCCCAGAAGAGGATGCTGGGTATCCTGTTCCATCACTCTCTGCTGTAAACCCTTAAGACTCAATGTCTTATTGAATCTGGAGTGAGGCAGATGGTCACTAAGCTCCAGTGATCTGTCTGTCTGTCCCCACCACCAACCCTTGTGATTGTATACCCTGGTGACCACGCCCTGCTTTTCTACTGGGTTCTGGGGAATCTAAACTCGTAGTACTCATACCCACTGAGCCACCTCTCTTGCTTTTTTTTGTTTGTTTGTTTTTGAGAGTCTCACTATGTAGCCCTGGATGGCTTGGCATTCCAGGAACCCTCAAACTCACAGAGATCTATGTGCTTCTGCCCCCGAGTGATGGGATCAAAGGTGAGTGCCACACTCCCTGACTTCTTTTTCTTAATGAAAACAGCAATAGGAACTATGTGCATTGGCCCTCTGGTAAACCTGGGCCTCTGAACTCTACTGTATGTAGCTAGTAAAGAGTCTAGATTTTGAGCACTAAGTTTAGTTTGGTGTTAAACTGGATGGTTGCCTCACTGATGCTGACTTTGAATGTCAGGCAGATTACTATTGGAAGTAGAAACCCTTCACATTCATCTTATGTAAAATGGATGTTAGCATTTGAACACGTAATTATCTTCATGAACCTTTAGAGCCAGACACCAACAAGAGAGAGCTGGCAATTTGCTGGGAAAACGCTTTCGGTCCTTTATGTGCTTAGCTTTTAGCAAAACTCATGTGCCATCCACGCGGGCGTTTCATATCAGCACCTCAAACTTGCACTTCAGGGGCCCACGTCAGATGGAGCCTCTGTCGGTAAGAGGAGCTGCATCAGGGGAGGTGTGCGAGCGCCACCTTGTGGCCCATGGCACCAGGCCAGTTCTCGGTTCAGACTCTACAAACACTCGAGGGTAGGGGGTGGGGTTGGAAGGGTGTGAGAAACTTTTGCTCCGAAATCGAAACGGGGTGGGGGGGAATGAAACACATCCAAAGCCTATTTCACCAGTTCACCGCAGAAAATGTCTTAATTAGGGCTGTCAACAAGACCCTGGAGTGTCCGCTAGTTCCTTCTCCACAAGGAAGGAATGGTTTGTTTGCAGCCTGGACTCGGGGTTCAGGATTACCGTGAATTACACAGGAGATGGAGGCAGCTGGCTGCTTATTTCAAACCCAAACCGAACTAAGCTGGATAAACTTTCAGTTATCAATTATTGGGAATATACAACTAAAATACTGAGTGTGTTCTAGGGCGCACAACGTTTAACTGCGCCCATTTACTTCCGCTTACTTGGGTCGATCAGCAATCTCCATGTTTACCCAGTGTCCTCTGGGGGAATAGAGAACCGAGCAATCACATTAAACTTCCAAATTCTTGCAACTGCGAATGGAAGCTTGGACTCGAATAGCGGAGGGAGACATTGCCAACCACTTTGCAGTGGCGGTGACTGAAACCAAGCAGAGAAACACACAAACCCCTTCTCCCCATGTGCCCAGAAGGCCTCCGGCAGCAGGCCCTCCCATCCTGTTGGAGAGCTCGGTTACTTGCTTTATGGGGGCTTTTTATTGCTCTATTGCTCTCCCTGAGAACCTGTGTATGCTGAGAAGGGGCTGTACCTTCGTTTCTCAGGACTGTGAGCTAAGCTTCCATCTTTGTGCCAGGCGTGGTCCATCAAGGCTGGAGAGCAGTCTGTAAGCGTCCTTACCGCACCAGGGCAAAGACTGTTAAGGAGTGTTGGAGAAACGGAGGGAGACCTCGGTGGGGTGCAGACACTCTGGCTCTGAGGGCTCAAACAGTGACTTGGGCGCCTTTCCTGTGTTGCTCTCAAGAACCCTGAGCTTATACCTTCACTAGTTAGCCAAGGAGTAAGAAAAAAAAGAAAATCTCCTCATTTTATCCAATGCTACTTAAAAAAGAAAGCTAAAGAAGTGTCAATTAAAAGACGCAAAATCGTGGGCCGGTGACAATGGCGTTGCGGTGTTTTCCCTGTTTCAGTTTGAAGGGGGCCATGCTAGGATCAGACCCAACTGTTTATTCTGCTCCCTTCCTCCTCTCCATCTCTTCCCCTCCCCACCCCAGTGCCAATGTGTAAACAATCCAGAAGACCTGTCTCTGTCACAGCGGCTGGAAAGATTGAGTTCCACCAGGACCCGGATTCCATGCGCCCTGGAAACCCTGACGGGGATGCGGTCATGAGTCTATATCCTTGTGGACTTTTCCACGGTGGCTTTCCATGGGCGGTTTCCTCTTCTGAGCTCCTAGCTAAGAATCTGGATCTGGGCTGTCACTTTCAGAGCAGGCCAGGTCATCTCGACAGTCACGACACTGACTTCAGGCCCCTCCATTAGGGTTCGGGAAAATCAGAATGGAACTGTTTGGAGGGTGTGTGTGTGTGTGTGTGTGTGTGTGTGTGTGTGTGTGTGTGATGGTTCTAGGGATTGAGCCTCGGCCCTTGCACATGTTGGACACACACTCTACCACCAAGCTTTAGCCCAAGCCCTCTTTGTACTGTCTGTTTTTAGACAGGTTCTCAATTAAGGGCGCATGGAAAGTCCAAGTTTGAACTTCAGTTAGAATAAAGGCTCTTTGCTTTCATGTATGGGACTCAGTCTCCTGGCCGGTTTTGGGGGGACTCTGAGGATCTGGGCAAAACACATCTCCAGTCTCCCTCCATCTGGAAGCTGCACTGGTGGTGGGAGCTGACCTTACAGGGTATGTGGGATCTTGGTGCCCTTCAGCTTTTGTGTGGGTTGGGCTACTGTGGTCCTTGGATGAGAAGGAACAGGGTAATCATTTTTTAATTTTTTTTAATTCATTTTATATACCAACTACAATTCCCCATCCCTCCTCTACTTCCCCTTCCCTATCCCTCCTACGCCCATCCACTCCTCAGAGAAGGTAAGGGTAACCAAAGGGAGTCAACAAAACCTGGCACATCAAGTTGAGGCAGGACCAAGCCCCTCCCTGCTGCATCAAGACTGAGCAAGGCATCTCACCATAAGCAATGAGCTCCAAAAAGCCGGTCCATGCACCAGAGATAAATCCTGGTTCCATTGCCAGGGGCCCTACAAAAAGACCAAGCCACACAACTGTCACCTACATTCAGAGGTCCTAGTTTGGTCCCATACAGATTCCCTGACTGTCAGTCCAGAGTCCATGAGCTCCCACAAACTCGGGTCAGCTGTCTTTGTGGGTTTTCCCATCATGATCTTGACCCTTCCCACCTTGGGGGCAGGGTGGTCATGTCTATGGTTCCTTCCTTCCAGGTCCCTGTGTGTTGGCGACGGTCTGCAACAGAGGCTTGCCACAAAAGGCGCCAGAGCAGGGACAATTGTCTGGATCAAAACCTAGAAGTTATGTTCCTGGAGGTGTGCAGGGAACTTCCAAGTTGAATTCCACATAGGAAGTGGCTGCTGAGTGCCAGCTACAGCCATTCATCAGGCCAAGGATCATGACAGGCAGACCACAGAGCAAAAAAAGCCGTCCTAGGGAGCTAGTTACAGTAATGTTTACAGAAACCAACTCTGATTCCCTGCAAGTCCGAGAGCTCTAGATTCTCCTACGTTTTGATAGGCAGGGCATTAGAGATGTTTGTTCAGTGCAGTCTGCTGTCTTAGACACATGAGGTGTCTCTTTCCTGGAGAAGATGGGGTAGCCTTGGAAGACTAGAGATCAGGCAGTCGCAACAGCAGATGTAAATTCCCCCTGGGCCATTTTGGACTTGGGTTAATGGGTGCCTCTGCTGGAGTCTGGAAGGAAGAGAATGAGGCAGACGCAGCACACAGACCCAGCTCCACCATCTTGGGGTGTTGGTCAGGTGTAGGGACTGCTTCGAGATGCAGCAGGGGACTGTGGAGGAGACACTGGATCTGAGTGTGGGGAGCTGCAGGGAAGGATAAGTCACGAGGTGGATAGAGATGTGGGGAGAATCCACGGGAGGCCTCAACTCCAGGCCTAGCTGGTCCTCCATGCAGCTCGTGTGTAGAAGGAAGAGAAGGCACTAGTGGGGTGCTCGCTATCAGGAGGAATGATGCTTGTGTTGAGCAGGCTGTACCTGCTCCTTTCTCCGAGTCTGATGAGAGATACAGGCAAGACGGTGCAGGCTTGATTCTGCTTTTCCTAACTCGTATGCAGTCATAAGACATTGGGTTTCTAAGAGATTCCATGACCAATCCTATCTCTTTTCCTGGACAGGAGTGAAGCCTACCTACCTCAGATCAGCTCTAGCCTACTGACGACAAGACAGCGTGGAGCTCACACGGTGGTGCAGACATTGGACAGATGAGCATGGTCTGTTTTCTAGAAGGGAAGCGGGAGCCTGACAGTCGTCCAGCCACCACGAATGTTCTGAGGGAAGAGAGCAGCCTGAGTCGCTAGGAGCTGATCTGAAGCTTGCTGGATGGCCGTGGTGCTCTCTGGCTGGGCAACATCATCTTACAGAGCACAAGGCAAGGGCACTTGGAGACCTTGTCAGACAAGGCAAAAGCAAGACCATGTGATTTGTAAGACAGCGAGGTCTCACAGAGTATACAGTGGTGTTTGCTTCTTTGCCAACAGCCTCTCTTCCCCGAGCTGACTTCCACAAAGGAGACTTGCAGTGTCCAGGTGCAGAACAGCATTTCTCAAAGAGTCCCCCAACCTGCTGCCCTCTGCCCATCAAACCCAATCACTCGTAAAGGCCACCGAGCTGTGTTTTCTAGCTCTTATTGTTGCTTCTATAACTTTCTGCCTAAGGGGTTGATTTGCAGTACAATGCACCGATATGATCTTGCCTACTGTGGGCTTACTCCGCTAACGGTCCTAAATTCACTCCTAGAGAGCGTCTTGATGGTTTACGTTATCGCTGAAGGAGGGAAATAGAGTCTGTCTTTCCTAGATCAGCCTTTGGGTTCTATAGATGGCAGCCCATCTCAGAGGGGATGGGGGGTCACTTGCTTCACCCTAGTACCATGGCCACAAACTGAATTTCTTGCTTGTGTAACAGTGTGGCCCTGCTGACCAGCATTCAGTGGGCAGCAGAATTAGCATTTAAATTCAGTGTGGGCTCACTGGTGTTCTCTGGTAAGTACATACCTGCTTTTTCGTCCTTTTGGCTACCTGAGGACTTCACTTGCAGCCTGACAGGAGGTCATTTGTAAAGGTCATGCTGGGCTGAAGGCCTGGGGCAGAAAGGACGAATCTTATTTAGTGCCCCTTCATCAGGATTCCTTAAATGAAAGGAAGGATGAATTATGGGAAAAGATGCCGCTTTCCAGCTTGTCAGAGAAGTGAGAAGTTTGTAAAGAAAGGACAACTCCTCTTTCCCCTGCTTCTTCTCCTCTCCTCCCTGCTTTCCCGGTCACAAGTGCCTGTTCACTAGGAGTCACACGGAAGCTGTGGTTTGTAATGACATCTATGAGGGATGGGTAGTTAGTTCATCCTTCCTGTATTGCCCCAGGGACCACTTGTGGTGGGCTTTCATGTGAGAGCTCAAAGGTGAGATGGCACCTTGCTGCATGATCTTTGTGTGTGTGTGTGTGTGTGTGTGTGTGTGGTGTTAGCAACAACAACGCGAACTTAAAGTGTAGGAAGATTCCCCTGCAGGAGGGAAAGTGAGATGGACTTCGGCCAGGTCAGGTTTGGGAAGACAGGCAAAGGCAGCGCTGAGTGGATACAGTAGGAGACACAGGATGACATCTGTTAGGAAGCAGGAAGAGACTCACGTTGTTCTCATCCGGTTCGGGGTGAGCCTATGTAGAACAGGAGCCTGACCCCACGGAAGCACAATGACTATAGTGCACCAGTGTCAGTGTTAAACTCCATCACCTCCTGTCTCGCTTACTCATGTACCGTAGCATCCTTCTTTCATCCCCAATTGGGGATACTGAGCTAAGCAGCACCATTGTCTTACTCAGGCCCTGTGACTGCCTCAGGACCTAGAGGTGTCTGGAGAGGGCAAACCACGCACCCTCCCACATGCCTTGCTCTTTGATGGTTTATGATTGGGCTTCCTTAGCCAGTTGGGAAAGAGAACTCTGGGAAATAACAGGAATAACGTGCCAGCAAAGGATGCCTTCAGGAGAGTTAGAAATGAATGGAGTATCAGGGCAAGGATGTTTCCTTCCCTTGTTGATGCTCTTGGACATTGGATAGGAGAGGGAACACAGTGCAGACATGAAGGAAATGGCTTAAAAGGCAAACAGAGACCCACTGGTTGGTTTGCAGGAAGGAAGGAGGGGTGGTGGAGGAGAAAGGACCAGGAGTTCAATGCCATCCTGGGTTGCATAGTGAGACTGAGGTTCTGTCTTAAAACAACCGGACTGGGGGCTGGAGAGATGGCCCAGAGGTTAAGAGCACTGACTACTCTTGCAGAGGATCCGGGCTCAATTCTCAGCACCCACATGACAGCTCTGACACCCTCACACAGACACATCTGCAGGCAAAACACTCATGTTCTGCCTTTTAAGCCGTTTCCTTCATGTCTGCACTGACTCCCCCCCCCCACAAAAAAACCCAACTAGTTCAGTCAAAAGCAGCCAAACAACCTCTGTGCCAAGATGTTATTTCGGTCCTGCCAAAGGGATCTGAACTCAAAATGGTGCTCAGTTATGTTGGTTACGAGCATAGTTCTCATTTACATCCAGAAAGAATAGCAATAAGAGACTAAAAATAATGTATCTAGGAAGCACATTGTTTTTATTTTTTAAAATTGTATGTGTATGGGTGTTTTGCCTGCATGTGTGTCTGTGTACCATGTGTGTGTAGTGTCCACAGAGGCCAAAAGAGAGTATCGTCTCCCCTGGGACTGAAGTCACAGGTGATCATGAGTTTCCATGGACTTGAACCAGGGTCCTCTGGAATAGCGTAACTTAACTGCTGAGTCATATCTCCATCCCTCAAAGCATTTTTAAAAAGTGATGAATGAGCATCCCATGTGAAGAACAGCTAATTACAAAGAATCCGGGATGAAACTGGACTCCGAGTTTTCCTTTTGCATTTCCAAGAAGTCGCAGACAAGAGAGATGCGCTGGGGCTCATGAGCCTCATCAAAGGAACCGGAAGTCCTTTTGCCCATCGCCACGGCCCTTGGCTCTCTGCTGTGCACACTATGGGACGTCGGGCGGGGCAGGTGGGAGAGCGGGGCAGGTGGGGGAGATTTTAGACATCATCTTTTCGTGTTCCTTCATCTTTTCAGGTGTGCAGGTAGAGATCAGAAGTAGGAGACAGACATCAGGCGTGGGTTTCTCTTCCCGCGATGCTGAACTGCCAGTCTGATGTTTCGACCCATTCCACCCCGGCTAAGATCAGATGAGGAAACTCAGTTCCTGTTTCCTCCTGTCTCTGCAGCTATGGTCCCTCTGGATAGACTCAGACTTAGGGGTCGATGTGAAGCGCGGCTCTTCAGCAGGTCTCAGGCTTGTCACTGGCAATGACCTCTGTGCACTTAGGTCCTTGGCAGGCTCCCTCCACTCCTCACACTCTGAACTATCTGGGGCTCGCCCAGGGAGGCCTGCACTGGGGCAGAAGTTTCTGCCTGGAATGGGACTGATGTTGGCCATGGTAACAGGAAAGGGCTTAGCGGCTGTCTGGGGCAAAGCAGGCTGCACAGGCTTGCTCTCTCTCAATGTCCCCGAGTGGGATGCCTGCAGGGCCACTGGGCTGCCTTTTTGGTAGGAGGGCATGGTCCTTTCCGTGGTGGCACTAAAGTACAGTGTTGTGCTCGCGTGTGCTTCCTCCCCTTTCAGAGGCCCATCCGCATCCTTCCCCTGGGCGTCCAGGTCAGCCTCGGTCCCATCATCCTTCGGGTTGTCTTCCTCCTGTGGAGCTGGTGGCTTCTGGGTGGTTGAGCTGTCCTCATGCGTGCTGGCAAAGGAGACAAAGCTTGAAGTTTCCAGCGACTCCATCTCGGCTTTCGGAGCACCTGCGAACTCAGAGCCGTTCTCCAAGGTCAAAGGGTCACAAGGAGAGGATGGGAGGTCTTGCTGAGAAAACAGGGGCTTCCTCTGCAGATTACAGTGTTGACTCGACCCCAACGCAGGGGAACAGGAGTAGCCACGGCTGTCACCTCCAAGGACTGCGTTGATCTTAGATACACTTCCTGTCTTGAGAGCAAGTTTCACCAACAGCCAGTGGTGGTGGCCGAAGAAGGAGCACTCCCCGGATCTCCGATCCCCCAGCCCCACCTCTGTGGTACTCTGCTCTGGGCTGGAGGCCTTATCTAGACTGGTTAGCTCATAGCTTTCCTCTTGGCGCCAGCATGAGCTCTCTGACCACTCCCCTGCTGGAACCACGGCCCTGGGAGAAGCCTCTGATTCAGCTTTGTCATTCTCTATGGGGCCACAGCATCTCCTCTTGAAGCCCTGCTGGATGTCTGCAGCTTTTGGATGTAGCAAGGTATAATAAAGAACCAGCGAGACACTGCCTGAGAAAGAAAATAGCCCAAAGGAGAGAGAACATGAGGTTACATTCTGGGACACCTGATACCCTCCCGTGAGTGATGGTCTCAGTAACTTCTTTGAGCAGTATTATTTTGACCTACAGTAGGGAGACTCAGAACCGGATATTGTTCAGGAGGAGTTTTAAACAGGGCCCAGCATCTAACCGCTATAAATGTTTCTGAACCTAAAAAAATGTACAGCCGTGGCTGTGTTCCTACTGAGCCTCAGCCTGGAGGAAGCCTGGCATTGACCCCTCCGGTTATGTGCAAATGTGTGCCTGCACACGGGCACCAGAGGCACAGTAGTAATCTCGTAACTTCCAGAATCCCACCAGCGGCACGGTGTGGACGGATGCCAAAGCCGGGGGAGGCAGGAGGTAAGAAAGCGACCTCAAAAACAAGAGCCCGAAGCCGAGGTCAGTCCCGCTCCTCAAAAGCCCCTATCAAGGCATTTCCACGAACAACAACACTTCCTCTGTGCACAAACATCTTAATCACGCTGTTGTCAGTTTCGTTTATGTCGATCAGAAGTGTTGACTGCTGCAGTAATCTCTTTAGCAGAGCATTCCAGGAAGCCACCCACGCTGTTTCCAGTTTCCTGTCACACTGGAGAAAGTGCCTGGGTTAAGGGTGCTCGTTACAGATTCAGGAGACGTGAGCTAAGTGCGAGGAGGAGGCCGAAGGCGCCGGGAGATGGCAGCGTGACAGACCCTAGGAGGGAACCCAAAGGACGTTGCCCTTAGACCCTCAATGTCTCTGGGGACAAGGGCAGGGCACTGGTATGCGGTAGGTTTGGAAGTGGGGACAAGGACCAGCATTCCTGTCCTCTCTGTATTGCACACAGCTAACGTGCTAGTTTCTATACAATGCTGTGGATGCATACCAAGCCCAAACACTCAGCTTTTGCAGTAAGTTCTACCAAGGCAGAGAAGAGCAGCAAACCAGCTGACCTTTGTTACCCTCCCTATGCACCCCAGACGCCGGGTAGGCAGCAGGGTCTGCCGCAGCCAGAGGCACCGAGAGCGCTGATTTCCTACCACCTGCTGGACTCTTGGCCGAGCTCAAGGCTGGCATGCAGTGGGCACTAAATACATGTTTGTCCAGGGAAAGAAGGAAATGGGGAGCCGAGATTTGGGCAGGAACTATTTCAAGCCTGTATTCTTGGAACTATAACTCTTTTAGAAATCTTTTATGTATATGTGCTTTGCCTGCATGTATGTCGGTGTGCCACATGCCTGCCTGGTTCTCCAAAGAGGCCATCAAATGCCCTGATACTGGAACCAGACCCTTATAAGACTCCACGTGTGTAAACCCATGTTCTCTGGAAGAGGTGCCAGCGTTCTTTACTGC